CTATATGTAAACTTGTACACAGGCAATTTGATGAGCAGCACCAGTTAAGAGAGATGGTGATCAGACATGACAACAGCATATCTCGAATGCCTTCTGGTACACCACTTTCACTTAACCAAAACAGACATGTACGTGACAGTGAATTAAATGTTGTTAAGTATCACTAGTCCAAATAATCCCATTGAGGGTTTGGGGAATGATGATCCAGTTTCCAATGCGCAACATTCTGATATGTTCAATTACAGATTCCTCTTTAGAATGTGCGACTGGAACATTAAGTTTAAGCCTAATCCTACTGGTGTTTATTCAGGAGAAAGTTCTGATATATTTTAAGGGGCTTTTCCCCCTTAAGAATTCTAGAACAGAATGCCTTTATTACCCAACATCTTGAACTGCAGCCCCACTGTACAGCATTTTTCTTTTTCTCTATTCAGTAGTATTACAACCAGAATGTTTTGGTAGACTGTGTCCAAATGTTTCAATCAATTGATTCTGTGCAAGACACTGACAGAATTTGTCAGCCCTGCATACCCGTCACCAACTGCCCAAAGAGGTTTCCAATGATCTAAGGTGCCCCAACATTTTTGTTTTCAAAAGCAAAAGGATTTTTCTAATACATCATCCAATTTCTGATAAAAACCTCAGTTGACTGAAATAAATACAGATGTACAAAAACATTCTGGTGAGCCTCTACAATTCCAACAAAATATTTCACAATATATTATATACCTACATTTATAATACATGCACCCACATTTCCCACACTGACAGACAACAGTTATTTCCTGAACAGCAGGAAACATAGTGTTAAAGATTTTGGTCCAATCCTTATGAAGTATTTGAACTTTGTAGTAGTACTCATCCCATTCTTCACCCCAATACACAGAACACAAACAGCAAAGCTTCAGGGACTGTTTCTGGAAGTGAACACAGTCACTACCCACAGCTACCATTAAAACAGACTTCTTCAGATCACGGCTATTAAGATGAGGCATCTCAGTACCAGATGTGTCCCGCTTAGGGTTTGCTGGGTCTCCTAAACATCACCAGTCCCTAGACAGTTTGGTGTTTTGATCCCTCTTTGGAGGTGCTGGAGGTGGGCCCCTCCGTAAGGTTGCATAGCCTAATATATGACTACCTCCAAAGCTGCTGGTCTTCTGCTTGTCTGTCAGAAGTTCTGGTGGGGGCGGGGGCAAGGCCATGTCATCCATTGTAGCAGTTGGCTCAGCTCTGGATATCCGGGCAGAGGAGAGGGAGCTATGTCGAGTGATGGACTTACGCTGCAGAGTTCTATTCAAATCCGCCAGAAAACCAGGCTGAACACTAAGGCCAGACTTGGGCGAGGTGGGCACTTGTGCACTGACAACGACCTGTGACTCCATTTCTGCTTGTGTGAGACGGGTGCTGTCGTTGCGTTTGGGACGTGTTGGAGGGGGAGCTTTCTTCCCAGATGACTTAGACCATGGCTGAGGTTGGGGATTGACGACAGCAACCTTTGGCGAGGTATTGCCTGAAAAGACAACAGGAATTTCTACGGGAGGTAAAGGAAGATCGATTTCAGGTGGTGGAGGGGGAAAGTCTGAATCTGATGGAGGAGAAGGAAATTCCTCAGCAGCACCCTTTCCTAGTGCTCCTGTGGCTGGTGCTTTTGTTGAAATACCTGCCTGCTGAAGAACAATAGGCAGGCAGAGCTTTCCTGGCTTTGGAGGAGCTGCAGGTGGAGTTGGGGATTCCTTGGCAGGAGATCCGGAGGGCTCCGGGGGATGTGCAAATTTGCTAACTAAGACATCCACTGAAGGTCTCTTAGGTTCACTGGACTCAATTGAACTATTTGATTTTATACTGGAATTGCGCTGAGGTGTAGGAGGTGGCTTTTTTCCTCCAGGACTGGAAGTCTTACTACCTTTTTTGACTGGAGAACCTCCTGATTTATCTGGTGTAGGGGACACTATCAATGGAGAGGAAGAAGGAGAAGGTGGAGGAGGAAATGCTAGGCTACCTTCAGGGGGTGGAGGAGGAAAATCAGGAGAGGGAGCAGAGGTTGGCTGCCATTTTGGCTTGGCTTTTACAGCTGGAGGAGACTGAGGTGGTACACTCAGAGGGGCAGGTTTTAAAGGCTGGGGCTCTGAAGCTGGCATGGGAGGAGGCGGAAACTGGCTGGCTATCTGCTTCACAATGGATGGCACAGGAGACAGTGGAGAGGGAGGAAGCTTACTAGAATGATTCTGTTGCTTGGGCAGAGTAGGTGGAGGAGACGGACCTAATGAGGCAGGAGATAATGGAATTTGTGGGGTGGGGAAACTTGGCTGCTTCTTTACTGCTGAAGGAACAGGAAGTGGCGGCACTGGATGTGTCACAACTGCCGAGATGGATTTTGCACTATTTTGTGTAGGGAGTGTCATAGTAGGCTTAGGAGGAGCTTGTGGAGGTGGAGGTGCTGGCACTGAAGGTGGTGGTGGTGGTGGCAAAGTTGCAGAATGAACAATGTTCTGGTGAACTTGATGAATTTTGAGAGGGGGAGCAGGAGGAGGTGGTGGGGTGAACTGTGGTACCGATGGGTTGGAAGGCACAGGTTTCATGAGCTGTGCCATTGCTGATCCTGGGGTAGGGGGAGGAGGAGGAGGCGGCGGGGGTGGGATTATACCATTAGGAGGTATTAAATTCTGAGGTTTTCCTGGAGGCGGGAGTGGGGATGGTGGCTGCTGTATTGAGATAGGTGATTTGTAGAGAAGCCCCCCATGCTGAGAGGCATTCTGTAGTCTTGTTATAGTGCTGTATTTCACAAACACTGTTGCTGAGCTGGTTCCAGATGACATAGACTGACCAGGAAGAGGGGGAGGAGGTGGGGGTGGAGGAGGAGGAGGGGGAGGTGGCGGAGGGGGAGGAGGTGGAAGGGGAGGTGATGGTTGTGATGCTGTATATGGAGTAGCTGTTTTAGTTTGTGGAGATAAAGGCGATACAAGTGAAGTGAAGGGTCGGTTTATTGAGTCCATTCGAGCCTATAGGAGAAATAAAAGTGAAATGTTCAAAAAACAAATTCATGCAAATATAATTTATACTGGCAATTATGATCCTGTGTGCTCAACACACCTAATTAAACTGAACTATAAAATACTGAAGAAAGGGTGTCATTTAACTAACAAATAAGGATAACAGACAAAAAACTACACAGCACTCGTGTGGGATTGCAATTCCACTAAGGCAGGGGTGTCAAACTGCTGGCCCACGGGCCGGATGCATCATAGCGAAACATGTGATGTTGCGGGTTTGACACCCCTGCACTAAGGAATGTGGGCATTGCAAAAAAATCTCCCTTTGGGATATTTCAAAGTGTAATTCCTTCACAATTCTAGAAAAAAAAAAATAAGCCGAAGAGCTGAAAAAGTACGTGAACAAGCAATTTTGAGTGAGTGCAGAGTGAAAACTATCAAAACCTCCATATAATAGCATAAGGAAAGGCATGCACAAGTATTTTGTGGGAGGAAGTAAGTAGTCAAGGAGAGAAACAAAACAGAAGGTATTGATGAGTTCTGGTCAAGGTGTTAAGGTAATTTACTTTCTAGCATGTTTGTATTAATGTATGGAACCGAAATAAGCAAATCCACATGAAAGAATGCCTTGCCCTCCTGATTAGGCAGTGCTTTCAGTTAATCATTATAAAGCCACGGATTCCATTGCAAAAAGGGATCTGAAGTTTGGCAAGCAATAGCATACTGGAGATCTTTCATTCTGGGCAATTTTGCTCAGTAACCCAGGCTAAACCAGAACTACACAGATTAATGTGGACAGCATGACAGGGTCAAATTACATTAGGACAGGTTCAAACACTTGTGAACTGATCAAGAAATCTAAAGATTAGAACTCAGGAAAAGTTAGTCTGCATGATTTGGGTTGCATCATTCCCCCAGGTTAATAGTTCAAACAAAGCCCCTGACCTTAACTCTACCCCTGCTTAAGCCATCACTGCAGTGGAGCTCAGAGCTGTTCCAGGTTTTGCTTTTGCCACATGAGACTGCAGGGCAACAGGAAAAACAAGAACAAAAACACAGCATGAAACACAGGGGGGATCAGGGGACAGGGAGACCAATGGGGGACTTCAAGCAACTCTTCCCCACCATGACACATTTTCAGAAGTCAGGAGGCTTTGTTGGTTTACACTTTGGCATTTTGCATTAAAAACAAAACAAAACAACAGGACCTTCAAACAAGTCCGGATTTTGTAATGGGGACATCCCCTTGCAACAGTGATTATACTTACATTAATCTTGCTAGACTCTTCCAACTGAGTTCCCCTCTTCCAAGCTTCTGAAAAGATGGAGCTAACAATACTTTGGGAACGGACATGTCCTGTTTGAGTGTCTGAAACTCCACTGTCAGATTGATTTGAGTGGTTGGACTGAGATTCTGTCAAAATAAATATTGAAAAATATTTGCAATTTTTGCCTTTGTTAAAAAAAAATCACAACTACCCTGGCTTAGATGGAGCACTATCACACTACATTGCCACGGTGAACTGGATGGTATATAATAAAACCTTACTAAATTTGGGGGGGGGGGGGAGAGAGCAAGACAAAGCAATAGCCAAATCTTACTTTGATGCCAGTCATATAAACATACTCTCAATGTACGGATTGTTTTCACTTAATCACCAATTTAAAACGTATCATTTAGGCCGTCAAGTTCAATGAAGAATTATAAATTAAAGTAGTCCTAATTCAAATTGCTGTAGTTTTTATTTGAATTCATCCATTACCGGGAGCTCATTTCTTCCTTTGGTTCCACTTTGAAAACATTTTTAGATTTTTTTCCTCCCAATAATGAATTGGAATCTGATTTTCTGTAAGGTAATTGGTGCCCTGAATTCTGCATTGATGGTGAATACATCTTGACCTTCTTCTATATGGCAAACTTTCAGTTTCTTGAAAAATGCTGTAATTTTCTATTTTCTTGTTTCATCTTCATAAGGATTAGTTTCTATTCCATTCACTGTCCTCACTGTCCTTCTTTGAAACAGTTTTCATTTCTCTAAATATGAAAGTTTGTTACACAGAAGCTCACAAACTAAGTTGGGTTCTAGTCAAAGCAGAACTTAGTGGAATAGCCATTACTTGAATATTTCAATTAACACAGCTTTAAACTATATCTGCCATTTTACCATACATGCTAAAGAACTTGTGGTCAACTACAATACCAAGATATTTCCCCATGTATCATTATATCAAACCATAAAACTCTCCTTCTATATCTGAGCAAATGACTTTTTCTTTGGTGAAGACTTCTACATTTTCCTCTACTGTTGCTAACTTTACAGGACAATTTGATAACTCTTCTGTCTCAACAGTTATTAAATCATTTAAAGACAGTTCTGAATTTCATGCTATATGGTACTCAGTTGTGTATTTATAAGATACATAAGCCTCCCATATGAAAGCTGAATTTGTTTCTGTTTCTGTTCTGAAACAGAATCTATTTCACACATGCTATCCAAATGTCCATTGATCACCAATGACAATCAAGTTTAATACTTCCAATTGTTAATAACTTTAATTCTGACTGTAACTAGGAGATTGTTACCTTTCCCCTAGGTAACCATTCTTCAGAAACCTCTAAGGTTGCATTTTTTTTATCAATAGCTACAGCTGATAGAGCAATTAACTTATAAAAAATGAAATTAAGATTACAAGTAGTCCTTGATTTATGACCACAATTGAGCCTAAAATTTCTCTTGTTAAGTGAGTTTTGCTCCATTTTACAATCTTTCTTGCCACAATTGTTAAGTAAATCACTGCAGGTGTTAAATTAGTAACACAGCTGTAAAGTGAATCTGGCTTCCCCATTGACTTTGCTTGTCAGCTGTTAAACATCTGAATTTTGATCACGGGACCATGGGTAGGCTGCAATGGTCCTAAGTGTGAAAAAAGGTCATAAGTCACTTTTTTCAGTGCTGCTGTAACTCTGAATGGTCACTAAATGAACTGTTCTAAATCGAGGACTATCTATATTTTAACGGGATATTTTCTTTAAAAGTCCACATGGACTGCTCCTAAACACTGCTTTCAAAATGCAGATTGCATATTTTGCTTCTACATTAGACTGCAGGCGTAATTTTTACAGCAAAGGGGATGAGGCAGAGAAAGAGAAATGCATATATTTTTCACTAGTCACTGAATCAATACATATACATTATACACACAGAAACAGCTATTTTTATTGACTGATCTATTGGGGCTTACCTGGCAAACTAGATGAGCTGGATCCAGACTTAATACTGGAACTGGACAGGGATGTCCAATCATATGCTGATTCTGTCCTTTTCAGAGCTTCTTGATAGTTTACATAGAGTTGCTTCCCATACTGTACAAAATACAAAATATGAATGCTGCTTGTTATAACATTTCCATCTGTATGACTGAAGACCAAGACAATCCCATTGCACACTCTAAGTCTATGAGAGCAAGTATTGGAATGTTTCTTTTAACTCTGATATGCCCCTAAAGAGGGTTAGAATTACTGTTCAATTGATTAAGCATCACTAAGAAACAACAAAATAAAAATGTTAAAACATGAATGCATTTGGGAACAAATAAAGGGGTTCCACCCATTGGTTGCACAAGCAGAAGGCAGCCTGAGCAACCGTCTTCATCTGAAAGAGGTCGGTATACTTAGAAAATAGCCAGGTATGTTGTCCTTAGTTTCAGTATGATGGGGGGAGAAAATTGCCTGAAATTTGCAACAGGAAGTTTCCTCCCTCCTTTGTTTCCAGAAAATGCTGGCACTGCCGTCAAGTTATTTTGCCTACACATAAGCTGACTTCCCTGATTTTACAATTGTTAAGAAAAATAGCAATTTAAAGAAGAAAAAGTATATGGGTAGTGGGATCGTGTTTCAGATTTTGGTCAAAGACAAACATGCGGCACAATCATGGCAAATGATCATTAATCCTTTAGAAAATACATTCATTGTAAAGTTAAAGTTACTACTTAAGTTAGCTCTTTCGTGTCCCTTGGGATGTTAGGGGTAGAGTGGGAGATGCTTTTAGTATCAAAGGGCAGAGAGAGAGAGAGATACTGGGAGGCTGCAACTTGGCTGCTGCATGGAAGTGATGGGTGCAGGGAAGTGATGGCCTTCCTCTGTCCGTCCCTCCCTCCCTCCCTCCCTCCCCCCCTCCCTCCCAGACAGACAGCAAGGCAATCAAGGTAGTCTAGAGGTCAATGATAGAATAGCTAATTGAAACTTTCTGAGCAATTTTTTATGTTGAAGTCATTTGCTGGTAAAACATCTATTGTCAATTTTGATTTTTATAGTACTCATTTCATTTTGTTTTACACTCCATATTCTTGGTTATTGAGCATTGCCTTGCTATGGATCATAGGTGAGAATGCTTGTAAATTGATACTCACTGCCATCCAGAGTACAAAAATACACCTTAAAAAAAGGTTAATTACTAGCCAGGTTGCACCAGTTAGCTTTTATCTGTCACTTCATTAAAGGGGAATAAAACACCAGCATATTTATTGCTTGGTTGTTTTCTGTTTTTCAGTCATTCATATTTCAGAGAAAACTATATTTTGTCATGATATTGGCTTGATTTAATTAGTATTAATCAGTTCTTATTAAGAGTGGCAGGACAGGGTAACAATTAAAGTAGAAGAAGGTAAAAAATTCGGTTCAAGTGTTTCCCAGAATTGCAGTGGATAAAACTAAAGAGTTATTCTAATATAGAATTAATGCTAAAGAAAAACATGGACGGTAATACCTTAGCAATACGGATGCCATTTATCCACTGATGAAGGGTTCTGATATCATCACAACATAAATACTTAATATATTGAGATTTCTTCTGAATTTGGGGATGCTGGAAGAGAAATATTTAATCTGTTTTGATTGAATTAAAAATAAATAATTACAGAATTAAAATTAGTCATAATGGGGACCAGCTGAAGCATATTGATACTATTGTTTGTATACTATGTTTTCATAAAAAGATTAGAGTAAATTCTCCAGATAAAATGAAGATATTGTGATTTTTGTTTTAATAGGGAGATAAAATCTGTACTTGGATTAGTTTTAAAGGAACATTAAAACCTGCTAAACAAAACAGCACAGGATGATATAGCTGCCATGGCACATAAAAACAAATTGCATGAAGTTATAGACAGTTTTCTTCAATGTTTATTCATTTGTAATATCAGAAGAATTAACTCAATAGTTACCTTTAATACCAGACAATAGTCTGTAGGAGCTTTGTACTTGTTGCGATAATCTTGTCCATAATAAACATTAACGTGATCCAATTGAAGAAAGCACACAAGATCTCGTGAGACCTATCAATAATGACATAGTTGGTCATGGACAAAGAGGTACAAATCATATTAACATAGTTCTGTCAAGGCTATTGTCTATATATAAAACACTATAAAAAGTACAGTACATTTGGTTGGTCACATCAAATATTGATTTCGATTTCTCTTCTGTTCATTTACTTTCCATTTTGTTAATTAATAAAAATAAACTATTAACACTACTATTTCTGAAAGCATTCTTAATTTACAGCATTTTTTCATGACTGCCTAATACATTTGCAGGGTATCGTACATGCTCAACTAAATGACGTAACCGTTATATAACAGAAAAATTATTTGTAACTGTTTACTCATGAAATTTATATTTTATCTTTTTGTTTAAGAGTGCATAAAACATTGTCTCCTTTTTCTCTAGGACATCTCTGTAAAGCAGGTTGGGCCGAGAGTGAATGCTGGCGCAAAGTCACCAGTCCTATGAGCTTTTGGGATTGATGGTGGAGCAAAACCTAAGTTTTCCCAGTGCCAGTCCAAAATCTTAACCACTACTACTTCAACCTCTCATTCCAAAATATGGAGGAAGGGGATGGCTCATTCATTATTCCCAAATGTCCATGAAAGCATATTACATCATTTGCAAACTTTTTTGTTATTTCTATAGTACACTATTATGCAAATGATACAAATCACAATCTTGTGATTTGCATCAAGGTATCATTACATAAACATAATATATCATTAATATAAATTTAAATGCCTTGTTTGTATCACTATAGTTTGGGTGCCAGACATGTCCATTATTTTGGGAGGAAGTCTGGGCAGAAATTTGGTCAGATGCATCTGAAGTCTCCTAAACAGAGTCTGTTTAATAAAGGTTTCACTGCATACATAAATGATGTATCCCTCTGATAGTAATTACCAGTCACTACCATGATTTAATGATACCCTCTGAAGATTAGGTGAATTTTTAACTGATAGATCAAGCTTTGGAAGAAATTAAATGCAATGTGCACTACTCCAACTGAGTTTGGGGGTTCTATTTTTTATATACTTATAACTTCTATTATGATTGCTGAATATGCTAGTTTCATCTAGGTTCAGCACAAAATTTTGAAACATTGGTGATGGAATCCTGAAATCCATTGTTTCAAACTCAGAATGTTTTTCAGACCGCTGGTCAATTTGAAAGTATATTTTACGGTGTGTCTAGTAAAAGTTGCAGTCATGCCCATTTGAAAAGATGAACATTATATGAGACTCAAAAGGGATTTCACCTTTGCTTTTCCTTTTGGAACATAGTAGATTCCGGAAGCTCGCAGAAGAAAGTAACGCTTCTTCCAAGATTTTTTACCATCATCTTTTAGCCACAGAACTCCCTCGATTTCTGGCACTGTTACTGAGCTTCCACAAAAACACTCCTAGAACATAAAGGTAAAGGAATTATGAAAAATGAACT